TGTGCTCAAACTAAATACCATCCTCCTTTCAGGATGTTGAGTGTTAAACAACTGAAGATATACACATGGTGTGTTGTGCTCAAACTAAATACCATCCTCCTTTCAGGATGTTGAGTGTTAAACAACTGAAGATATACACATGGTGTGTTGTGCTCAAACTAAATACCATCCTCCTTTCAGGATGTTGAGTGTTAAACAACTGAAGATAAACACATGATGTGTTGAAACTGAATATCATTCTTCTTTCAGGATGTTGAGTGTTAAACAACTGAAGATATACACACATGGTGTGTTGTGTTGAAACTGAATACCCATTCTTCTTTCAGGATGTTGAGTGTTAAACAACTGAAGATATATACACATGGTGTGTTGTGTTGAAACTGAATACCCATTCTTTTTTAATGATGTTGAGTGTTAAACTACTGAAGATATACACATGGTGTGTTTGATAGTGCTTGCTGTATTGTTCTGTTTTAGGTAAAATTAGGGACCATAATCTACAAGGTTTCATTTCTTAGAAGCTGCTATGCCAAAGCTTTATTAACATCAACCGAATACATCACATGAGACAAGTATTAGTTATAAATATAAAAACCAAGTTGTGTGGACGTGTAACAAAGGCAACTATTCTATTGAATAACATTTCTTTCTTATATGTTCACTTGCATGAGTGATGGGTCACAACAAAAGTTCCTTCAGATACTAAACATGAAAATAAAGACCCCCACGTGTGGTTAGGATAACTTACTTCAGTTAAACTAATTTGTTGTTCTTGATTTTTTAAAAACAAAAACACGCCACATCATAAACACACAGTGGTTATGTCTTACTCCTAATTCACACCCTTTACTGATATCACCGTACACTCAAAACAGTAGGTGATGCAACTCATTAAGTACGTGGAAACTTTGAAAATAATATCTAAATTATTGCCATACTAATGATATTCAAAATTTTCAAGAGCCTGTAGTAAACCAGGAAAAACGACTGACAATCAATAGTAACCACAATGACGACTGACTGTCTATGGTAATCAGAAAGATATCTTACAGCTCATAGTAACCAGAAGGATGTCTGGCAGTCCTCGGAAACCAATGTGACGACTGACAATCAATAGTAACCACAAGGACAATTGACTATCTATGGTAATCAGAAAGATATCTTACAGCTCATAGTAACCAGAAGGATGTCTGGCAGTCCTCGGGAACCAGTGTGACGACTGACAATCAATAGTAACCACAAGGACGACTGACTATCTATGGTAATCAGAAAGATATCTTACAGCTCATAGTAACCAGAAGGATGTCTGGCAGTCCTCGGGAACCAGTGTGACGACTGAATATCTATGGTAATCAGAAGGATATCTTACAGCTCATAGTAACCAGAAGGATATATGACAATCCATAGCGATGTGAAGGATATCTTACAACCCATAGTACCCTGAAGGTTGTCTGACAATCCATAGAAATCAGAAGGAAGACTAGCCATCCACAGTAATCAGAAGGATATGTGAGAAGCCATGGTAACCAGAAGAATATATGACAATCCATAGAAATCAGAAGGAAGACTAGCCATCCACAGTAATCAGAAGGATATGTGAGAAGCCATAGTAACCAGAAGAATATGTGGCAATTCATAGAAACCTGAAGGATATCTTACAATCCATGGTAACCAGAAGGAAGACTAGCCATCCACAGTAATCAGAAGGATATGTGAGAAGCCATAGTAACCAGAAGAATATGTGGCAATTTATAGAAACCTGAAGGATATTTTACAATCCATTGTAAATAGAAGGATGTCTGACAATCCATAGAAATCAGAAGAAAGTCTAGCCAACCACAGTAATCAGAAGAATATATGACAATCCATAGAAATCAGAAGAAAGACTAGCCAACCACAGTAATCAGAAGAAAGACTAGCCAACCACAGTAATCAGAAGAATATATGACAATCCATAGAAATCAGAAGAAAGACTAGCCAACCACAGTAATCAGAAGGATATGTGGCAATTCATAGAAACCTGAAGGATATCTTACAATCCATGGTAACCAGAAGGATGTCTGACAATTCACAATATCTAGAATGACGTATGACAATCCCCAGTAAATATATTTAAGCAACTAATAGCATTGTACAAGTTTTCACATATTATAAATGTCCAGGTTAGCTATTTTTATTTTCTTATTATACATCTATTGAGCTTATTTAAAACTAACTAGATTTATTTTCAGTTTATTTAATTGGAAAAATTGCTTGTAAGACATAAAATATAATAACAAATATTTCCTTAAATAAATCATAACGAAGATCAATTATACTTTAGCTCGTCCCTTATCTCATCTTAAATGATGAACTAAATAAACGATCCCCAGGATAATTATTTTCAAGTCTAGATGTCGCAGCTCAAGTTTGAACGGTTTACTTTGATTGGTTACAGGTAAAAGATGAAAAATTTTCGTCAACAAACGTGTCTCGTGTAACTTTTATAGGCGCCATCTATTGACCTAGGTGAAAATTAATGGCATTTTTGTTTATAACTTCTACAATTATTCATTTCGCATCTATTAATGATAGGTTGTTTGGCAGACAATGATCTCATTAAATGTATCTGCAATCTTAGCAGCCGATTAAGATACAATTCCTTATTTAAATTGTAATATTTAATTAATTAGGTTAATTATATAGAATCCATATATATTCGGTAACAGCGATCAACGTACGACAAAGACATACCTCAAGTGGCAAAGAGTGCGCCAAAACGAAATTTAAAACTGAAGTTTATTTATTTCACATTAATTTTTTTCTATTTTTTTATTAATTAAGAGCACTTCTTTTCTAATTGTCAAAATGAAATCACAGCTTCTTTGAAAAGGTTGTATATTCTACCAATAATCTGATCCACTCAACGAAAACTTAAGGAAATTTCTACAAGCAATTAACCAATCGTTAACGTCAAAGTAAAGGCATTACAACTAATTGCACAAGCAATTAACCAATCGTGAACGTCGAAGTAAAGCCATGCTAATCTAATTGGACAAGCAGATTAACCAATCGTTAACGTCGAAGTAAAGGCATGCTAATTGAATTGGACAAGCAGATTAACAAATTGTTAACGTCGAAGTAAAGGCATGCTAATTGAATTGGACAAGCAGATTAACCAATCGTTAACGTCGAAGTAAAGGCATGCTAATTGAATTGGACAAGCAGATTAACAAATTGTTAACGTCGAAGTAAAGGCATGCTAATTGAATTGGACAAGCAGATTAACCAATCGTTAACGTCGAAGTAAAAGCATTACAACTAATTAATTGTACAAGCAATTAACCAATCGTGAACGTCGAAGTAAAGCCATGCTAATCTAATTGGACAAACAGATTAACCAATCGTTAACGTCGTAGTAAAGGCGTGCTCATCTAATTGGATAAAAAATTACAACTGTTGAATCTTTCCAGATAAAGTAAACATAAGAAACCGTAAGCAGTGTGTGAAATGGGTGCACTGATGCACATAAACTGGAAACTTCAGGATAAAATTTGACTTGTTGCAAACTGTGTATAAATCAAATATTTGTGTTACTTTAATAGCTTCTGGCTAATGGTGCCAAAACAAGATAAAGTGAGACATAGAAAGGTGTAGTCTGGGCAACATATATGTAAAAACAAGTTAGTCTGGGCAGCATATGGTTTAAATACAAGTTAATATGAGAGAGAGAGAGAGAACAAGGACTAAAAGTTAGTCTGGGTAGCACAGGGTTTAAATACAAGTTAGTTTTGAATAATTAAGAATTAGACTTATAACAGGAACTAAACGATTAAGTACGTTAACCGGAAGTCTATTAGTATGAAAAGAACAAACTTGTGACGTACTAAGGTGTGATGAACGAAGCTCTATAGCAGGAAGCAGATTTATTTGAGATTTGTGTTATAGAGCGCCACAATTTAAGAAAAGATCTAGTAGCTATTAGCATCATTTGAAATGTACTTTCATCACCTCCTCTTGTTTCTTTACCCAGACTATGTATTTTAACTACTCTCTGTTGCACCGTCTTGTTTCTTTTCTTCTTCACTAGATGGAGCAACTCTCGTTAATACATAGGGTTCTCCAACTGTTTGAGAAACACTTGATATTTCTTGTGATCCAAGGCTTTTGTCGGATACAATTTGTGACTGGGTTGAGGGTATCTCTGACGATTTTTCTTTAGAAGTTGAAAGTTTAGACTCCGATGTAAGTGGAAGATCTGATTTGTTTTCTTCTTCGGGTAATGATGATGGTACTGTCTCTGATATTACACTCTCGCCTGTAGATGCTGGGGAATCATCTTCCTCAGCTTGAGTTTCTGGTGGTTTAGACTCAAATGTGGATCCTGAAAAAACAGTTACCTTGGCTTCAGTTTCTTCACTAACTACTGACTTAGACTCGGACGTGGGTGTTGGAGAAACACCTTCCGCAACTTGACTTTCTTCACTGGCAGGTGGCTTAGATTCAGATGTGGGTGTTGGAGACACACCTTCTTCAATTTGTCTTTCTTCACTGGCAGGTAGCTTAGATTCATATGTGGGTGTTGGAGAAACACCTTCTTCAATTTGTCTTTCTTCACCGGCAGGTGGCTTAGATTCAGATGTGGGTGTTGGAAAAACACCTTCTTCAACTTGTCTTTTTTCACTGGCAGCTGGCTTAGATTCAGATGTTGGTGTTGGAGAAACACCTTCCTCAACTTGTTTTTCTTCACTGGCAGGTGGCTTAGATTCAGATGTGGGTGTTGGAAAAACACCTTCT